TGCAAACATAACCAAAGCTTGTTGCCTAAAATGTATACAATATAATTAATTTGGCTCTCAAAGTGAGCCCTTTCCCAGAATTTACATAGAATGGTCAGATATAATGCAATACTTGAACATGGTTATCTCAATAAAACCATACACATACACACATGCATTAGCATAAGAGCCGCAGTGGTGCAATGGGTTAAACCCTTGTACTGGCTGAACTGCTGACCTGAAGGTTGGCAGTTCAAATCTAGGGAGCGGGGTGAGCTTTAAAGACTATTTGGAACAAGAAAAAATGAAGATGATTTAATATAAGACCATTATCTACACTCAGAGAGGGAGTAGAACATCTTAACAAGGACAGAAAATAAACAAATATTCACCTACCCAATGGGCTGCAGGAGCAAAAATCCGGTCCACAAACCTCCTTACTTTTTATTTATTTTACTTAATTTATTTTATTTCCGCTCCTTTCTGCAGAGCTGACTAGCTCTGACCCTCTTGGTAATAATAATAATGATGATGATGATGATGATGATGATGATATTTATTTATTTATACCCTGCTACCATCTCCCCAGGAAAGTGATGGGGCGTTTGTGGAAACTTACAAGCAGACCTAAACAATATAAAGTGCTTTGGAGGACAAAGTGCTATGGGATCATTATTCTGGGAAGGCACACTGGAACAACCACGTCTTCAAGTTCCTCCTAAAGACTGCCAGAGTTGGGGCATGCCTGATGTCCTTAGAAAGTGAGTTCCAGAGTCGAGAGACCACCATCGAAAAGGCCCTCTCTCTCATCCCCACCAATCGCGCTTGCAATGCAGGTGGGAGCGCAAGCAGGGCCTCTCCACATGATAGAAGAAATTGATTGGTACTAATGTTGGAGAGTGGTCCCTGGTCAAAGTGGGGCCTGGTCAACGTGTTCCCTGGTCAAAGTGGGGCCCAGTCAAAATTGGGCCCGGTTGAAATGGGGCCTGGTCAAAGGGGCCCCTGGTCAAAGTAGCCCCTGATCAAGTGGGACCTTGTCAAAGTGGGCCCTGGTCAAAGTGGTCTTTGGTCAAAATGGATCCTGGACAAAAAAAAACCGTTGGAAACCACTGCACCTACTGGATGAAACAGATTGGAAGTCAACAGCTCCTCTTCCTACTTTGCTTGCCCCCCTCCTTTTTCTGTTTTTTTTTTTAAGAATGTGTGTATCTTATCACAATCCCACCACATCTGCATAAAGGCACCTGTTCCACCACATTTGTGCCAACATAATTTTGATGTGGATTTAGTTATATGCGCTAGTTGATTTGGGGAGCAATATCATTTTGGCCGTATTTTCCATTGTGTTTCTTTAATCCTTATGTGTTTAAGTTTTTTAATTGTATGAATCTAGTGTTCAATGTCTTTCTCATTATTATTGAATTCCTCTTTCCATACCTCAATCAGTGGGGGGTTGGTTTTTTTTTTTTTGTTGGTTTTTTTTTGAAATTACATTGTTTTTTCTACTATTTTGCTATATATGAAACCCACCAAACTTTTCTCCACTTTTTAAAATTTGGTCTAAATCTGCTTCTGGGTTTTCTTTTCTTTTCCATTCTATAACCCTCTGTTTCATTCCATTCCATAAAGACCAGTTACTTTTTGTGTTTCTTTCACTTAGACAACCACCCAGTGATGTGACTTACTAAATTTGTCACTTTAAACATTGGGAATAGGATCTACAGCAGAGCTGGGACCAGACCTTAGGCTTCTCCAAGGCTAATTCCAATATGGTTCCTGGCAGTGACACCTGCTAATCAGCTCCAACATCCACTAGTGAATCTTTCTGCCAAGAAAACCAGTGGCTGCACATTGGCCAGTAAAGCCTGCCTCTAGTCCCACTCACTTCAAGGTTGGGAAAGGACTCAGAGCAAGAAAACACCCAGAGAAGAGGGAAAGGGGGTCTTGAGAAACAGCTGACTCCTGGGCAGGACTCTCAACCTCTTTTTCAAACTTCCATTGGCACAGTGCTCTGGAAAGAAAGGGCAGGAGCTATCCCAACAAGACAATCTACAAAGAGGGGAAGTAGCCAAGCCCAGGGAAGGAACAGCCATGTGGGCAAAGCTAGGAGTGGAACGGAGGTGGTGGGAATAAGAGGCACTCCCAGCTGTGCTGAAAGCAGGCCAAGGATAAGGTCGGAACAAAACAAAGAGAGAAAGGTGTGGCGGGGATGGAGACTGGGAACCAAAGAATCCAGAAGGTTTCAATCAAGTCTTTGTTTCAATCACGATGCTTTTAAACTGGGGATCATCCGAAAATTATCACGTTATCCTGAGAAGACTTAGGATGGTAGGCAGACTCACTAGAAGACAGTCTCATCACCGTCACCTGTGTAGATGAGGCGATTATGAACAGGAAAGTTTATACATGACTCCAGGAAACAGGTATTTAACACTATCCAATCCTGTGCAATTCCTGTGGCAACTTCCAGCAGAAGTTGACTATAGATTTGTGCTGGAGGGCTAAAAAGTACATTTCTCTAGGAATATTCTAGGTCTCCTGGAATGATTCTATGGTAGTCAAAGCTCTTCACATCTAAATGAAACTGTGTTCAACACGCTTGTATAATTAGACAGCCTACTGCGTTTCCACAGCTCATTGTGATTCTTCTAGCTGCCATGAGAACAAGTGATCAACACACCACCAAACTGCTCTCGTCTTGTTCCTTCTCCAAACCACCTGTCATCACCAAAACTTGGACATTTCAAAAAGCATTGCCTACACCAGGGGTCCTCGAACATTTTAAACAGAAGGACAGGTCACAGTCTGTTAAACTGTTGGAGGGCCAGAATATAATTTGAAAAAAAAAATGAATGAATTCCTATCTACACTGCACATTTCTTATTTGTAGTGCAAAAGACACTTAAAACAATACAATAATTAAAATGAAGAACAATTTTAACAAATATAAACTTATTAGTATTTCAATTGGAAGTGTGGACCTACTTTTGGCTGATGAGATAGGATTGTTGTTATTGTGTGCTTTCAAGTCATTTCAGACATAGGTTGACCCTGAACGAGGGCCGGGAAAATGACCTTGGAGGTCCTCGGGCCTTAGTTTGAGGACCCCTGGCCTACACATTTCCATCTTCCTCTCTTGGAAACCACTTATTTAATCCTATTCTCAGTCCTGGCTAGAATACAGCTAATGAATCAATGGGATCTGCCCATGTGTTGACTTGTCTTTCAACAATAGTCTCAAAGGGGGAAGACTAGCTGGGAATAACCAACAGGCCATTGCTGTCCTAATCACAAAGATTTCCAGGTATAGTTAGATTCCAAAGGCCCAGTTTATAAAATCCCACAATAATCTCAATGCTCTAATCCCATACCTGTACTAACAAATAAGTGGATTACACATATTGGCATTCCAAATATAAATCCATAAACTTTTAAGGATATATTTACCTGGAGACCGTTCTTCTATTCAGAAGAACAGCCTGCCACAGTGGAGCGTGCTTGTGCCATCAATGTTTAACATTTACACAAATGATCAGCCACTGCCAGAAGGGACAGAGAGTTTCATCTATGCTGACGATCATGCAATCACTGCTCAAGTAGGGAGCTTTGGGATGGTTGAACAGAAGCTCTCTGAGGCTTTAGTTACTCTTATTGCCTATTACAGGGATAACCAGATGATTCCTAATCCATCTAAGACACAGACATGTGCTTTTCATCTTAAGAACAGACAAGCATCTTGAGTTCTGAGGATTACCTGGGAAGGAATCCCACTGGAGCATTGCAGCACACCAAAAACACCTGGGAGTCACTCTGGACTGTGCTCTGACTTATAAGAAGCACTGCTTGAATATCAAGCCAAAAATGGGTGCTAGAAATAATATCATACAAAAGCTGACTGGCACAACCTGGGGATCACAACCAGACACAGTGAAGACATCTGCACTTGCACTTTACTCTGCTGCTGAGTATGTATTCCCAGTGTGGAATGCATCTCACCACATTAAAACAGTGGATGTGGCTCTTAATGAGACATGCCACATTATCACAGGATGTCTACACCCTACACCACTGGAGAAATTATACTGTTTAACCAGTATTGCACCACTAGACATCAGTTGGAAAGTAGCAGCCTATAATGAAAGGACCAAGGCATTGACATTTCCAGCCTATTCTCTGTTCAGATATCAGCCCATTAGCCAATGCCTTAAATAAAAAATAGCTTCCTAAGATCTACAGAAATACTCACAGGAACACCTCATCAAGCAAGAGTCCAAAAGTGGCAGGTAAAAACCCGGAACCTCAATCAGCGAGAAACTTCCCCCTGGGCACACAGAAGACTGAGCAACTTGGAAGGCGCTGAACAGACTGCACTCTGGCACTTCGAGGTGCAGAGCCAATCTTTAGAAATGGGGCTACAAAGTGGAGTCTGTGACATGTGAATGTGGAGAAGGGTAAACCACAGACCACTTACTACAATGCAATCTGAACCCTCCCACATGCAGAATGGAGGACCTCCTGACAGTGACACCAGAGGCACTCCAAGTGGCCAGCTTCTGGTCAATGAAAATTGAGTATAATGCCAAGTTTTCACATCATAATTGTATTCTCAATTTGCTTCTGACACGATAAAGAAATACCGGGGGGCGGGGTCTACTTGTACAAAAAAACTCTTATTACCCTTAGATCATCTGGAGAAACCCTGCCTCTGTAAGAGTGGACCACAACTCTGGAGTTCTCCCTTCTTCTTACCTATCTGTTTACTGCTATTTAAGAATTTTTATACTCCTCTCCTCCACAAAGATTCATCTGTTTCAAAGAAATATAGCACAGAAATAGATCATATACAGTACGACCCCTGAATTCATGGAGGACACATTTCAAGATCTCCTGTGGATACCTGAAACCATGGATATTGAATCTATGGATGGGGGGGGGGGGGTGTCATAAGATATTTTGTCATCTTGCAGGTCTTCCCACTCTACTCAAAGCTTGACCCTTGAGTGCCACAAATCTTCACTCACCTGCATGGTAAGCCACAGATCCCCTGCTCCAGCCAGGATGCCGATTTTTTGGGTAATCCTAGGGCAAGAGAGAAACAGTTCAAGCAGAGTCACTGTTTATTTTTATTTTATTTTTTCATGTCAGGAGCGACTTGAGAAACTGCAAGTTGCTTCTGGTGCAAGAGAACTAGCCATCTGGAAGGATGCCTGGATGTTTTATTATCCTTTGAGAGGCTTCGCTCATGTACCAACATGAGAAGCTGGAGCTGACAGATGGGAGCTCACCCCGCTCCCCGAATTCGAACTGCCAACCTTTTGGTCAGCAGTCCAGCCGGCACAAGGGTATAACCCATTATGCCACTATTTAGTATTTAGTAATCACAGATTTTTGTAAGAAGAGTGTCGCAATCTGTTTTTGTGCATGTACGTTTGAGTCTCCTTGTGAAGAGAAAAAGTGGGGTATAAATAAACATGATGATGATGATGATGATGATGATGATGATGGATCTCCTGGGATTTGCCTGTCATGGTGAGAGCAGGTGAATGCACTGGCCCAGCTTCAAAAGGCCACATGAATCCGGGACATATTTGGAAGTAAACAAACAGAACCAGATGGCTACCTCTGACAGGAAAGGAAGTGGGGCAGATGCCAATCCAGTCTCACCATGCAGTCCTGCCTGCTTGCGATTTATTATCTGGAAATTTTTACCAGAAAGATTGTTCAGATTGTGCAGAACAATGAAGCAGAGATGAGAGTGGAGAGACCCAAAATTCTCCACTGCTGGGAAAGCCCTGAGATAGACTTCACCTTACAATTTGCAACATCATCTTACAAAACCATTTCCATCCGCTATCCAAAACTCTTGCTTGATGTCATGCCGTCTTTTTCCCCAAAAGGGTGTTAACTTGTTGTTATCTTCCTTTGAAGATACAATGTTCATGTTAACAGGGGCTTACGAGGAAACCTGAAGCTAACGTTTTTTCCTCATTCATCTGACGTCTTGACATCCCAACATGGGATGTCTTGACATCCCAACATAGGAGCACCCAGTGACACAATGGGTTAAACCCTTGTGCTGGCAGGACTGAAGACCAACAGGATGGCGGTTCGAATCCGGGGAGAACATGGATGAGCTCCCTATGTCAGCTCCAGCTCCCCATGTGGGGACATGAGAGAAGCCTCCCAAAAGGATGGTAAAACATCCAACATCCAGGCGTCCTTTGGCCAATTCTCTCACACCAGAAGCGACTTGCAGTTTCTCACGTCGCTCCTGACACACACAAAAATAAAATCCCAACATGGGGAAGACTTCAGAAACAACCTCTAGAAACCCAGACTGAAGGTTTTAAGAGCTAGATTGTGAACTGATGAAACTCAATTTCCACATCCGGATGCATCCCTTTTTTTTCCAATGACATGCACACACAACCTTAATCATAACACTAAATAACACGGTTTTTGTTCCTGGGTTAGAAATGTCATTTCCTAATTGGCTCTATTATAAAAATATGGAAAAGGTTTATTAAACTGCAAAAACTTTGTTTAGGCAGGACATCCTGTAGCACATTTTGCTATAGTTTTCCAATGAATATCTCACAGAGTCTCAACTAATTCAACATAGTTTGTGGCAGCCACAAAACAAAGTTTCTGAATTGTAACAATTACTCTCAAAGTAAATACCGTACAATGAAACAGGAAATAACATTTTCAAATAAGGAACAGATTTTTTTTTTCAAATTTTGTTACATAGTGTAATTGTCCAAAACTATATTACAATGGTTTCAGGTAGGAATAATCCTTGCATAGCCAGAAACGCTGAGCAAGGGACAGTTGGAAAATGTAGATCAACATGTACTCCATTGCATGCTCTGCTTCCTCTACTGTTTCTGCAATTTCTGCCAGGAAGATGTATTTTTACTGAGAAAATTGCTCAGAATTGGTTAAGGCTCAGGTGCCTCCTCCACATGAGACAATGCCTGTAGGGCTTCTCAAGTGGCTCTATCCCACACAACTACTCCTCCCTCAACTATTTAGAGAGCACCCAACATCTCTAATGACCCTGTCACTGTTATTCCACTTTAACTGGCATTCCAACATTATGTGGAATTCTGGTATTTGTAGTTCAATGAGGTCTAAGAGCCCTCTGTTTGAGGATTCTCAACATACCTCTGTAAACTGCAAATCTCAGGATTTCCTATAATGTTGTCATGGCAGGTGATGTAGAATCACAGTATTATATCAGTGTTGTGTGATAGAGCCTCATGCTCATAAAGTGTCCAGCCGCACAGGATGGCATCATACGAAAAGGAAACTCTAGTGGTAGAACTATTGAATTGAGAAGACTATGACACACACACATATGTATCTTCTTCCATAACTAAATCTATCTATATAATAAGTAACAATATGTTTATGGTCGTTTTCCAAGATGTCTTCAACTTCCAGAGAGCATTGTGATAATGGAAAGGTTTGGGGGAGATTGATGGGATGATGGGAGTTGCAATCCACCCATATCCAGAGAGCCCAGTGATCCCCACTATCAATAGATCTGATCTGGACCAAACTTGATAGACAGTGCCCCGCCCCCCCCCCCCCCGCCCCCACTAGCACTACCACCACATGGCCAATTTTAAAGACTGGTGGATTTGTGGGGGCAATAACAGAGGATGATGGGAGTTGCAGTTAACCCATATCCAGAGAGTCCTGTGACCCCCACTGATGATGGATTTGGACCAAACTTGGCACATTGACCCATCATGACCAACTTTATATAATATATTGGTGGAAGCAGCCAATGATAGAGGATGATGAGAGTTGTAGTTTATCCACATCTTTATGCATTTTCTAATGTGACCATTCATCAAATACAAAAACAAACAATGACTTTTTCTAATGCTTATCCTTAACAAATATCTAACCTGGGCATCACAGGGTACCTAAACTAGTATGCGTATGTATATAATCTCTCTCTCTCTCTCTCTTTCAATCTCTCTCTCTCTCACACACACACACACATACACATGGAGAGTAATAATGACATTGACTTTTCTCATTACCTTGCGAGCCAGGCCCAGCGCAATGTAGCATTTCTCTCCTGGATCCACAATCTCCACCTCAAAATAGTGACTCCTAGTACTCAGAGGCTGCCGGGCTTGGGCAAGACCCACATCGATGATGCTCTTCCCCTTCCCCACGTATTCCAGGAGCTGGAGAGAAAAGAGGCCTCATCAATTCAGTAGTCAAGCACAGTAAATGTCTGCCTCAGCACTACAGCTTCCAGCAGGATCATTAGCACAGAGCACCTCAGCAAGCGAGAGTCCAAAAGTGGCAGGCTCAAACCCAGAACCTCAATCAATGGCTGATACCAAATGAGAGACTCCCTCCTGGGTACACAGAAAAGTGGATGACTTGGAAGGCGCTCTGGGACCACGAGAAGCAGAGCCAACCTTAAGAAATGGGGCCACGAAGTGGAATCCACGACATGCAAGTGTGAAGAAGAGCAAAACACAGACCACCTATTACAATGCAGCCTGAGCCCTGCCACATGCACAATGGAGGACCTTCTTATAGAAACACTGGAGGCACTCCAAGTGACCAGATACTAGTCAAAGGCCATTTAATAAAAGTTTGCCAAGTTTGCAAACTTTATGGGATTTTTTTTGTTCTGTTTTTTGTTTTTAAATACATTACAACTGTTTGGCTTGCTCCTGATATAATAAATAAATATTAGCACAGAAAAATAATTGCAAGAATGATTAGTAATGATAAAGTGGAGACACTGGGAGAAATTCTATGTGAATTTTTTAAAAAATTTTGAAAAGAGAAGCCGTGTTACTTTCTTATAGCAAAACATTTAAGAATCTCATGACACCTTAAAGACATAATAGTTTGTTTGGCGGAAACATTTGTGGACTGATCTCATCGGATGTTCTTGATGAAGTGGGAGAGAGTCCACAAAACTTCAGCCAAATCAAACTTTTTTTGTCTTGAAGGTACCACACGATTCTCAGTTTCAAAGACGAGATGAAAGGCAGAAAAACCAAGCAACTGTGAGGGATCTGTAACAAGCACTACATGTTAGATTGGGTGGATGCAAAGGAACTTCCAGCATGCTTCAAAGAGGGAACAATCAGATCCCAATTAATCTGTAAAACCACCATCTAGAAAATGCTCTTTTGGCAAGGAGCACATCTCCACTTCTGAAGATATTCAAGGCTGCTTTGAACGAACGTAAGTGCAGAACTAGTGGTAAAGATTTTGCACTTTTGTAGATTTCTCCCTCCTAATGCATTAAAACTTGAAGGGTAGGAAAGGGTCAAGTAAATGCAAAACTATGTGTATTATTTTGCAACCATATTGAATCTTAGAACTCTATTGATCATGAAATACTTTTGTACTAAGAGAAACACCAAAATTAGTCAGTATCCATTACGGTTTGTCTAAAAAGTATAGTTTTCCATGGGATTATATAATAGGCAGGTGAATCACGTGTTGTTTTTTGCTCTCTTTTATTTATTTTCATGTGTCCTTATAACTTGCATCTTAATGACTTTTCTTTTTTCAAATGTATACACCCAATTTGCCAGGAGAGGGGGTGTTTTAGACGAAGGTGCTCTTGACAGTCTCCAACTGACCCGATAACCATGCCATGATTTAGTTGTGGGTTTTTTCTGTTGTTGTTTTTTGGCACACACACAAAGTGAATTGCCTATCTCAGAATCAGAGAATCACAGAGTTGGAAGAAACTCCAAGAGCCATCCAATCCAACCCCATCCTATGAAGGAACACCACATCAAATCAACCCCTACAGATGGCCATCAAGCCACTCTTGTCAAAATGCATGTACCCATGTCTTCAAAACCACCCTAAGATAGCGTAGGATACAAATAAAATTGTTGTTGTTTTGTTGTTGTTACTTGTTGTTGTTGTTGTTATTTTCTCACATTTCTTCCAGAAAGTTCAGTGGGAGGAAATCTCTGTACAGTTAGAGCCAAGCAGAGCCATTACAGCAGGCCTGAGGATCAATAACCTGCCCCAAATGCCCCAAAAACAGAAAACAACTGATAATCCAACTCCTGGTTTTGGAAAATTATTATCTTTAAATAAACTATTTAGAAGATTAATTAGCATTGCTGGGGTTGTCTAAGGAATCTGGTGGAACTAGGAGTCTACATAACACCTAGAGGTCCAGGTGTAGATCGGTGATTCCCAACCTGTGGTCCGTGAACCACCAGTGGTCCCCAAAAATTAAAATATGGTCTGCGGCCTCACCGTTACTACACCGTTGCAATGACAGCGACTGGTTCCACAAAACCCTTATAGCGCCGAGTCCATGGGGATGTTGGGAGGGGAGAGGCTGACTGCCCATTACAGGCATGACAACAAGCCTCCTGACTGCTGCTTCTCCTCCTCCTCCATCCTCCTGTGTGGAGCCATTCCATGTGGTGCCTGGAAGCGGGGGCACCTTGGTGTCTTCGTTTTTTAGTTCCTGGAGTTATTTGGGGTGCTGATTTGATAGACTACATCAGCTCTAGATTATTAAATGTGGTTTTCTGTGAGCGAGCAGATAGTGACTTGGATGGCATAGGTTCTGCATCAGAAACTAGAGGCCTATCCAATGCAATTTCTGAATCAGCACCCCAAATAACCAAACCAAATCTAAAGTTGACCAAAAAATGATTCATAACCCGTTGGTACTAATGTTGGAGAGGGGACCCTGGCTAAAGTGGTCCCTGGGAACCACTGCTCTAGTGCCACACTTTGTCCTGTGTTACGGGAATCAATCTTGGTCAATTCCTCTGCAGAACCCTACATTGTCCAAGAAAAAACCATACAATGAGCTATGTGGATGGGTATCTTGCCTGAACAGATACATCATGCAGTTTGAGAACCTTGAACGACATAGTTCTGAACTTTTGATTTTGAAAAACAAAGTTTCTAGCCCCTATTGAAGGTCAAATTGGAAAACACACAAGCAAAATCTAATTCCAAAAGACAGTTTCTGAGCCCTCTTACAATTACCAAAATGAAAATTACAAAGAAAATGTGTATGATCAATTCAGGTCACAGCACTCTATTATTCCCTGGCAAGTTTAGGGAGTTTTCTTTCCTGGAAAAATAAAGTGATGGTAAAAAGGCAGCCAGAGTGAAAGATATGATTGATCTTTCAAGGAAGCAATGAAACAGTCAGGAAGTTTCTGTGGCCTGAAGAAGAACAGATTGTTAAGTAATACTACAAGGCTTCTTGCAGCTCAACCCACAGGATTTCAATAAGGAGTAGATTTTGCTGTTCTTTCCCTTGTGAAAACATGTGACTGCACATGTTAGTTTTTACTTTTGCTGGTGCCACTGTTAAATTAAATGGCAAGAGTTCCAAGAGAAAAGAGGATGTCAACTACACTAAAGCTGGCTCTGCTTCCTTCCTACAAGGCAGCATAAAGCCAAGATGGGCAGGTCCTCTAGCCCACCTTCTCTCTTCTGGTGTCAGGTCAGATCCTGCCAAGTTACAGCTTAATATCTCAGTACAGTTTTGCATGGAAAGAACCAATCTGTGGATTTGTTCAGTGTTTCAGAGACACACTGAAGAAGAGATTGAAGCATGGGTGATCGAAGCATGAAACCTGAGTGTTGCCATCACAGTGGCATTTCCCTCTTGAAGAAAACATCCTGGTGCCATCACACCACCAAGTTCAAATCTGAAAGCTGGTTAAGACAAAGGGGAGAAAGGGGGAGTGGGGGGAGAAGGGCTTCCAAGGCAGCAGGATGGCCAGGGGAAAGGAGATGGCTTCGGGCGACTCCAAGCCAGACGTTCAAAATTCCAAGACAACCATCTGGCAAGAGCAGACAAAAACCTTCAAGAGACACAGAGCAAATCCGGACCCACCTCCCACTCCGCCAGCATGCCGAAAACCCATGCCCAGCCTTTGAAGAGTGGACCTTTAATAAACAATATATTAAAATTGTCCATGAGAAGAATTCAAGCTATGCAATTTTATTTTTCCATTAGACCAGGCGAAGAGGGGAAGGAGACAGGAAAGGGAGGAAGTTCACATGGGTGAAACTGGCACTTCTACTTGCAAAACAGGAGGAGGAAAGAAGTAGCCCTTGGAACAGTGCTACCAATTTCAATTCTATGTATGCTTCAAAGCTTCATATGCAATATATAGCAATTAAAAGCTTTTTACGAGGCATTTCTAATGTCTCAAAATATCTCAGTCAACTTTAACGAGATCCCAGTCAGGCCAAGCAAGACATGGCACTCGGGTCAGGAAGGAACCTTGTCCTCCCACCTATTATCCTGGATCTCTTTGCCAAACTAGTACCCTCCCTTGTAACTATTAAGAGACCAAGTATTTGGGGCATGGGTTTCTGCCCAATAACATTCTAATTTTGGAAGTTTCTACTGCATGTATTAGTTTCCATTTGGGCCAGACCGCCCAGACTAGAGTGGTCAACAACATTTACCAGTACCCTCACTTGTTTCTCCACCATTGTATGCTTACTTGGAGTCATGAACAGCATGTCCATTTGTCCCTACTTTGAATTTTTTTTTAAAGCCAAGCATTGCCAAAATTAACTGAGGACTGGCATCCATACAGGATGTTAAGAAACGGCGACTAGGTGTTTGTTGCTTTGTGACATAGGTATGCTTACCTGAGGGTACAGAAAATACATCCTCCAGTTTACAAAGGTGAAGAGGATATGCACATACCTTGATGTATATTTGTGGGGTTACAGAGAAAGTAGCGTGTTTCTAAGTGCTTTTCCATACAGTCATATAACTCAGAATATCAAGGCAAAAATATAATAATATTTTGAACTGAGTTATCTGAGTCCACACTGCCATATATTCAAAGCAGACATTGTGGGATTTTATTCAGTTGTGTAGAAGGGGCCTCACACACAATTAAGACTATTTGGGGTGCAAGAAGTTTCTGAAACAAGATAATATTACCTGGAAGAGGACTCACTGAGGAGAAGTAACTATGCTGCATGAAATAATGGGGGGGGGGGTTCGGAGAAAGAGGGGCACAGGATGGTGGACTGAATGTTTCCCACATTCAGGCCATCAAAGGAGAAAAATCTCAGATGTGTCTGGGGTACAGGAGAGGAATGGAGTGAAATTAGTCATTTAAGTGTAGAATTAAGATTTGCCCTGCTGAATTAAACTGCAGGGCTGAAAATTGTGTAGAAATTATGTGGTCCT